CCGATCCGGGGCCGGGCGCCTTCCCGGGCGGCGGGCGCGCCGCCTTCCCAACTAAATACCTACTTCAACTTCTAGTAGCCGGACGCGGCCCTGCTCGAGGCACGTCTGCGTGGGTTCTACGTCTTTGCTGAGCACGCAGAACCCGCGAATTTACGTGTATTCGACCTCGTCCGTGCGGCGGACGAGGCTGTAATGGCCCGTGGGCAACGCGTTGTCGAGCTCGAGCAACGCGAAGTAGCCGGACGCGGCCCTGCTCGAGGCACGTCTGCGTGGGTTCTACGTCGTTGCTGAGCACGCAGAACCCGCGAATTTACGTGTATTCGACCTCGTCCGTGCGGCGGACGAGGCTGTAATGGCCCGTGGGCAACGCGTTGTCGAGCTCGAGCAACGCGAAGTATGGCGCCGGCCCTCCTTAGGGAGTAATGCGGGAGCCTACTGCTGCTTGACGAAGGAATCGCGGAGGTTCTTCATCGCCTTTTTGGCCCACTTGTCCTTGATGTATCTCGGCGCCTCCGCGTTGAAGGCCTCCTCGCCGAGGTCGTAGGCGCCGAGCGTGTCCTTGTCCGCGCGGCCCTAAAGCCTTGCTAGGTTGATTTTATATCTGCCCATATCTAAATGATATGGGCACATTCGGGCTGCGGCGGCGCAGCGACTCGCCGACTCGCCGCCATCCCATAATACCCCACGGCCCTGGGCTCGCCGCGCCCCGGGCCGCCCGCGCCGCCGCGAAGCCGCCGATCAAGGTCGGAGTCACGATCGATGGCGCTGCGGGCTGCGACTGGCCCGCGTGCGACCCACAACAGGGCGGCGCGGGCTGTCGGACTTCAAAATCCGCGCGACTTCACAACCCGTGCGCTCGTCCAGTCGCTGGCGTTCGACAGTGTAGCAGCCTCCGCGTTTAGCGGTGCGTCTCGCTCCTCGAGAACACCACAGAGACTCGGACGAGCGCGCACGGTTTGAACTCGCGCCGCGCTTCGAAACGCGCGCGACCGCGCGATGCCCGCCGTCGACCGCGTCCCCCACGGGTTCCTCGCGAAAAAGAACCACCGATGGACCACAGCCCCGTTCGCGGCGAGCACCGGTCCGTCGGTGCACCTGCAGTAGCTGATACCCAGGGGCTGCGACTTCGAAATCACGACGGTCCGCGCGAACCGCGCGAGGGCGCGCGACTTCAATCGGCGTGCGCTCGTCCGAGTCTCTCTCGTCCTGCGTGGCGTGCTCCTCCGCCGACTTCGGTTCGTGATCCGAGCGAGCCGCCCGCGGTCGACGGACTCGAACGTCCGCGCGCGGTTTGAACTCGCGCCGCGCTTCGACCCGCGCGACCGCGCGAACCGTGCGAGGGCGCCGACTCGTCGGGCGCCGACTCGTCGGTCCAGGTAGCTAGGCGGCCCGGGGTCGCGCGCCCGGGGATCCCGGTTCCGTGTGGCTCGCAGGGGCTCCGCGCCGCGGCGAGCGTCGGTAACCTCCGGCGGTCGTCGCCTGGGTTGTCATCGACGGCGGTCGCCGGGCTGCTATGCTGGTCTTATGCGCCTGCTATGCTGGTGGTATGCGGCTGCTATGCTGGTCTTATGCGCCTGCTATGCTGGTGGTATGCGCCTGCTATGCGTCTGCTATGCGCCTGCTATGCGCCTGCTATGCGCCTGCTATGCGCCCGCTATGCGCCCGCTATGCGTCCGCTATGCGTCCGCTATGCGTCCGCTATGCGGCTGCTATGCTGGTGTATGCCGTGGCTGGTGTATGCCTGGTGGTCGGCCCCCTCTGGTTTTCACTCGAACTCGCCGAACTCGCCGAACCCCACAGGCACATCCACAACCATCTCATTCGGTCTCGCAGCCGCCTTCGGCGCTTCTGGCAGCAATGGTCCGCCTCGTCACCCTCGTCGCCCTCGTCGCCCTCGTCGCCGGCGCCCGGGCCGCCCCCGCGGGCCTCGACTACGACTTCTCCGGCCGCGGCGACGGCGCGGCGGTGCTGGACCTCTTCCTGCGCGTCCTGAAGCTCGACGCCTACGACGAGCTGCCCTTCGCCTCCGTGACCATCGACGCGGGCCTCGACTGCGGCGCCGCGGGCGACGCCCACGCCTCGAAGCTCTGCGTCGTCCTCGAGGACGCGGCGAACGACGACGACGGCTCCGCGGCCGTCGTCGCCGTCAGAGCGACGTCCGCGGTCGACGCCGCCTACGGCGCCGCGCGCTACCTCCGCGAGCGCTGCGGCATGTCCTTCGGCTGGGACCGCGCCGGCGGCGACCAGGTCGCCATCGCGCAGCGGCTCGCCAACGGCCTGCCCGCCTGGCCGCCGCTCAAAGGGCCGACGACGTACCGGCGCCTACGCGACGTCTCGTACGGGTGGAACGTGTGCACGGCGTCCTACACGCAGGCCTGGTGGGCCTGGGACGACTGGAGCCGCCACCTCGACTGGCTCGCGCTCAACGGCGTCAACCTGGCGCTCGCGTACACGGGCCAGGAGCGGCTCTACGCGGACGTCTACGCGGACCTCGGCGTCGACTACGCGGCGTTCGCGAACTGGTCCAACGGCCCGGCGCACCTCACGTGGTCGCGGGGCCAGTCGACGCACGGCGTCGGCGGGCCCCTGCCCCGAACCTTCGCCGACGCGCAGCTCGCCCTCGCGAAGCGGATTTTGGCGCGCATGCGGGGCCTCGGCATCGTGCCCGTGCTGCCGTCGTTCCAGGGCAACGTGCCCCCGGCGTTGAAGGACCTGTTCCCGGAGGCGAACATCACGGTCCAGGCGCCCCACTGGACGTCCGGCGCCGTCGCGTGGCTCGACGCAGGGCAGGAAAAGAGAGCGAAATTCCCAACTTCAAAGGCTCCCATCTCGGCCGTTTTCCACTCGTTTCGGCTGATTTTTGGACGAGCGATCATCTCTCGGAACGGTCTCGAAGCATGGGTGCTTTTTGGGGAACGCGCGCGCGCGGAACACTCACGTTGAAGTGAACTTGAATCACTCTTTTCCTGCCCAGGCTCGACGCGACGGACCCGCTCTTCGCTCGAATCGGCGACGCGTTCCTCAAAAGGGTCGTCGCGGAGCTCGGCGCGGACGCGGACGGCGACGGCGTCGGCGACGCGACGGAGCACTTCTACGAGGCCGACGGCTACTTCGCCGCGGGCGACCCGCCCTGGTACGCCGCGCGGCGGGGGGGCTCGTCGTCGAACGCGGGGGTCTACGGGTCGCCGGACGACGCGCGCGCGCACGCTCTGGGCGCGTACGGCGCGATGGCGCGGACGGACCCGGACGCGCGCTGGCACTACCAGGGCTGGATCCTGAACATGGGCGACGGCGCCGTCGTCGAGGCCTACGTCGGCGCCGTGCCCGCGGGCCGGCTCCTCGTCTCGGACATGTGGTCCGAGTGGGCGCCGCTCCGAAGCATGCTCGTCGCCGCGGGCGCGCCGTTCCTCTACGGCGCGCTCCAGAACTTCGGGGGCACGCTGGACCTGGGCATGTCCGTGGCCCAGCTCGCGGGGAATTTGTCGGGGGCGCCGCCGGGCGTCGCGGAGGGCCTCGCCGCGGGCGGCGCGCTCGCGGCCGGCGTCGGCGCGTTCCCCGAGGGCATCGACCAGAACCTGCCGTACTGGGTCTACTTCTTCGACGCCAACTGGAACGGCACGCGACCGCTCGACGCCTGGTGGGCGGCCTACGCGGCGGCGCGCTACGGGGTCGAGGACGACGACGCGGCCGCGGCCTGGGCGGCGTTGGCGGCGTCCGCGTACGCGCAGCCCGCGGGCGGCGGCGACGGCTTCTGGCGCGAGAAGGCGCGCGGCGGCCTGCTCAGCGCGCCGGGGCTCCACGACGCGTCCGACGCGCCCGCGGCGCCGGCCTACGCGACGGCGCCCCTCGTGGACGCCTGGCGGCGCCTCGCGGCCGCGAACCTCTCGGGCGCGCCCTACGACTACGACGTCGCGAACGTCGGGCGCGAGGCCCTGTCGCGCGCCGCCGACGCGACCTTCGCGCCGCCGCTCTTCGCCGCGACGACGGCCGCGGCCGCGAGGACGGCCGGCGCCGCGCTCCGGGCGCTCTACGACGACGCGGACGCGCTCCTCTGCGCGTCGCCGTCGCTCCGCGCGGCCGACTACTTCGACCTCGCGTCCGCGCTCGCCGCGGGCGACGGCGGCGACGCGGCCTTCTACGACCGCGTCGCGCGCGCGCAGGTGACGACGTGGCTCCCGGCCTGCGGCGGCGAGAGCGACGCGGCGCCGTGCTCGCGCCACGCGAACGCGTCCCGGAGCCCGCCCCTCGAGGACTACGCGAACAAGGCCTGGGGCGGTTTGGTGACGCACTACTACGGCGGCCGCGTGCGCTGCTACGAGGACCACTTCGGGGACGCCGGCGGCTACGCGGCCTGCGTCGACGACCTCGCCCGCGCGTTCCAGGCGGACCACGCGCGCGTCGAGTTCCCGCTCTGCGCGTCGTCGGACGCGACGGCCGCGGCGGTGTCCGCGAGGCTGCTGGCGAAGTACTTCCCCTGACGGCCGGCGCATTTCGCTAATCTTGTCTTTTTCTCCGGTCTCCGACCTCGGTCTCCGACCGCGCTCCCGCGGCGCGAGGGTGTCGTAGCTACAGCCGTGCGCACAGCGCCCGCGCAAGCTAGGCCTGCAGCTCGTTGCCTTCAAGGTTCAGCTTGATGGCGCGTGCCTTGGCCGCCGCAAGCACTGCATGCGACCTCCGAGAGCTCTCAGCAAGCGAGTGCTGCTGCTGCTACCAGAGAATATAATGGCGCTCCTCCGCGGAAACCTCCTCCGCGCGGCGCCGCGGTCCGCGCTGCGTCCGCTGTCGACGCGCACGGAGACGGACAGCTTCGGCCCCCTGGAGGTGCCGAGCGAGAGCTACTACGGCGCCCAGACGGCGCGGTCGCTGATGAACTTCCCCATCGGCGACGAGAGCGCGCGCATGCCGCTGCCCATCGTGTGGGCCTTCGGCGTGCTGAAGAAGTGCGCCGCGGTCTACAACAAGGCCCAGGGCAAGCTGGCGCCCGAGGTCGCGGACGCGATCGCGGCCGCCGCGGGCGAGGTCGCGTCCGGCGACTTGGACGGCCACTTCCCGCTCGTCATCTACCAGACGGGCTCGGGCACGCAGACGAACATGAACGTCAACGAGGTCGTCGCGAACCGGGCCATCGAGCTCCTCGGCGGCGTGGTCGGGTCCAAGGACCCCGTGCACCCGAACGACCACTGCAACATGGGCCAGAGCTCGAACGACTCGTTCCCGACGGCCATGCACATCGCGGCGGCGTCGGAGCTCTCGGGGCGGCTGCTGCCGGCGCTGGCGCACCTGCGGAGCGCCTTGGAGGCCAAGGCCGTGGAGTTCGACCACGTCATCAAGATCGGCCGCACGCACTGCATGGACCTGTGTGGAAATCAAATCTTCAACCCGACTTCAATGTGAGCGTAATCGAACGGATTGCGCCGGACTCTTCGGCTGTGCTTCGAGAACTCGACGAGAGCGATCGATTCGTCCAAAAATTAGCCGAATCGACTTCGATTTGATCGAGCTAGAGAATTCTGAAGTTTGGTGGGGACCCCCCAAACCAGTGGTTGATTTCCACACAGGCATGGACGCGACGCCGCTCACGCTGGGCCAGGTCTTCTCGGGCTACGCGGCGCAGGTCGAGGCGTCGGAGGCCCGCGTCCGGGACGCGCTGCCGCGGCTCCACGAGCTCGCCCTCGGCGGCACGGCCGTCGGCACGGGCCTCAACACCGTCGAGGGCTACGACGTCGCGATCGCGAAGCTCATCGCCGACGAGACGGGCCTGCCGTTCGAGACGGCGCCGAACAAGTTCGCGGCGCTCGCGGCCCACGACGCCATCGTCGAGGCGTCCGGCGCGCTGAACACGGCCGCCTGCGCGCTCAACAAGGTCGCCAACGACCTCCGGCTCCTCGGCTCCGGGCCGCGGAGCGGCCTCGGCGAGATCCAGCTCCCGGAGAACGAGCCGGGCAGCTCGATCATGCCGGGCAAGGTCAACCCGACGCAGTGCGAGGCCGTGACCATGGTCGCGGCGCGCGTCGTCGGCAACCACGTCGCGGCGACCTTCGGCGGCGCCCAGGGCCACTTCGAGCTCAACGTCTTCAAGCCCGTCATGGCCGCGGCGCTCCTCGAGTCGACGCGCCTCCTCGCGGACGCGTCCACGAGCTTCGCCGACCGCTGCGTCGTCGGCGTGGCGGCGAACGAGGGCCGCATCGCGGACCTCATGGCGTCGTCGCTCATGCTCGTCACGGCGCTGAACCCGCACATCGGCTACGACAACGCGGCCAAGGTCGCGAAGAAGGCGCACCAGGAGGGCACGTCCCTCATCGAGGCGGGGGAGGCGCTCGGGCTCTTCACGGGCGACCAGTTCGCCGAGTGGGTCAAGCCCGCGGAGATGATCAGCCCCAAGGCCCCCTGAGCGCATGCGCATTTGAAGTTAAGGTTGAAGTAGGCGGTGTCGTCGACGTTGCCGTCCGGAATTCCGGCCCCCACAAGGACTGCGCCTGGGTCGCGAAGCACCTGCCGAACCGCTGCGGCGTCAAGGGCTGGGACAAGTCCACGGCCTGCGACTCCTGCGCCGACACGTGCGCCGGCTCGTGCTAGGCGGCCGGCGGACGCGGCCCGCCCGAGCCCGCGATCACGCAGCCCAGGGCCCAACCGTCGTCTTTCGAATCGTATTTTCTGGCCCCGCGCCGCTCCGAACCCCCGCCCCCGGGCGAGAACGCCGCCACATCCCCATCGCACGTGTAGTAAGGAGCCGGAGGCCCGCCCGGTTCGGGGGGCGCGGGCCGCGCCCTACTTGTTCTCGCGGCGGTACATGTCCATGGCGCCGCCCCAGAGCTGGGACGCCGGCGCCGCCTCCTTGCCCGGCTGGACGATGCCCTGCTTCGCGGCCTCGGCGAGCTGCTTCATGGCGCTCCGCGACGCGGGCGAGGGCCCGCGGCGCACGGGCGGCCGCGGCGGCGGGCCCCGCGCGCGGCGCGGCGGCGAGTCGCTGTCGTCGCGGCGGCGGCGGCCCGAGCCGCGCTTGGACTTGCGGCGGCGGTCGCGCGAGCCGTCGGAGTCGCTCGAGTCGTCGCGGCGGCGGCGGCCGCGGCTCGCCTTCTTGCGCTTCCGCCGGTCGCGCGACGCGCCGCCGTCGCTGCTCTCGGAGCCGGCCGCGTCGCCGCGCCGCGGCGGCGGCGGCGCCGCGCCCGCGGGCGGCGCCGCGGCCGGCGCGGGCGCCGCGATCGCGGCGGCGGCCGGCGGCGGCGCGGCCTCGGCGGCCGTCGCGCGCACGGGCGGCTGGAGCTCCGTGGGCCGGTCCGGCTCCGTGAGGCGCATGTGCGTCGCGAAGGACCGCAGGAGCGTGACGACCTTGGCGCTCCGCTCGCCGCCCTCGAGCGCGACGCGCTCGGGCGTGAGGCCGTCGACGGTCGCCGCGCGCTCGTCGGCGCCGTGGTAGAGGAGCCAGCGGCAGAGCGGCAGGTGGCCACCGAGGGCCGCGTGGTGCAGCGGCGTGCCGCCCTGCGCGTCGATGCAGTTCAGCGCCGCCGCGCGCCGCGCCTCCTTGGCCTCCTTGGCGCCGCCGGCGCCCGGCTCGCCGAGGGGGCCGTCGACGAGCCACCCGGCCACCGCGAGGTGGCCGTTGAAGCAGCACGCGTGCAGGGGCAGCACGCCCTGCGCGTCGCCCGTCTTCGGCGACACGCCCTGCTCGACGCACCACGCCGCGACGTCGAGGTGGCCGCCCATGGCCGCCATGTGGAGGCACGTCGCGCCCATGGGGTCGCGCGCGCGCGTCGCGACGGCGCCGTGCTGCACGGCGTGGCTCAAAGCCTCGACGCTGCCCTCGAGGCACGCCTGGAGCAGCGCGTTGTCCACCTGGGTGATCTGGGTCAGGTCCATGGCGGCGGCGTACCGCGACGGCGAACCGCTACTATGCGGCGCACAGAGCGGGCGGCGGCGGCCGGGGCGGCGCGGGCGACGGCGACACGGCGGCGCGGCCCGGCGGTCGTCGCGGCCGGCGAGTCGCTTGGCTCGGCCGATCGGGCAAAACGAGACGCCGGACCCCGACCGATCCCGGTCGGCGGCGCGCGCTCTCCGGCGCCGAACCGCATCGGATGGAGGACTGCGCGTTGGCCCGCATTGCGGACAAGAATGACGTCGTCGGCGTGCGCCTCGCGGCGCTCGTGTGTGGTAACCAGCTTTCGCTGGTGGCCACGGAGTGCTGCGGCGCCGAGCGCTGCTGGCGCCTCGACGGCGCCGAGGCACACGTGAAAGAGTGGCTCCGGGACGAAGCGAGAAGCGCCGGCTCGACGGCCGCCCGCGCCGCCGTCGCCGCCGTCGCGGGCGTCGGCGCCGACTACACCTGCGCCGCGGACGTCGGCGCCGCCGACCTGCAGCTCAAGGTCCTGAAGAAAGGGGTACGATCGAAGGTCGTCCTCGGCGAAGGACAAAAAAAGACGGTCTCTCTCAAGCTCGTCGTCGGCGCCGCGCGCGCCGAGGCGCGCGCGGCGGTGCTCGACGCCGCCGCGGCCGCCGCGCGGTCCGCGCGGGCCGAGCGGTCCGCGCTCGCGGCGCGGGTCAACGCGCTCGAGCGGCGGGCGGCGGACCTCGAGGCGACGGGCGCGGCGCACCACGCCGACGTCGACGCCAAGCAGGAGGAGCTGCTCGCCGAGTTCGCGCGCAGGCTCGCCGCGAGCAACGCGCGCGCCGCCGAGCTCGAGCTCCGCGCCGCGGGAACGCGACCCGACGACGACAAGTCCGACGGCGAGGAGACGGACGAGGACGAGAAGCGGACGCGCCGCGAGGGGAAGCCCGACGTCGCGCGGGGGCTCCTCAACGCGGCCGGGAGCGGCGCGACGGTCGTGAAGGCCGAGGACCTGGTGGAGACGCGACGCAG